GGAACATCATATCTCAAACCCTCCGCTCCCATGACATGGAAGCAGCTAAATCTAGTGTGATCCTGACTATGGCTGCATGATATTTGAAATGTTTCCTTCTTGCTGTTTGAAATATTTCCCTTTGTTCTGGTAGCTCTAGAATTTGGCTATAATATTCTTGGGAATTTTCATTTTGGGTTCTCTTTCAGATGGTGATTGATGGATTCTTTCAATTTCCATTTTACCCTCTGGTTCTAGGATATTGGGGTAGTTTTCCTTGTTAATTTTTTGGAGTATTATGTCTAGGCTCTTACTTTGATCATGACTTTCAGGTAATCCAATAATTCTTAAATTATCTCTCTTCAACATATTTTCCAGGTCAGTTGCTTTTTTCCCAAACAGATATTTCACATTTTCTTCTATTTTTTGTTCTTTTGACTTTGTTTTTATTATTTCTTAATGTTTCATGAAGTCATCATCTTCTACTTATCCAATTCTAATGTTTAAGGAATTATTTTCTTCAGTGAACTTTTGTACCTCCTTTTCCATTTGGCCTATTCTGCTTTTTAAGGAGTTATTTTCATCAGCAAATTTTTGTACCTCTTTTTCCATTTGGTCAATTCTATTTTTTAAGGTGTTATTTTCTTCAGTATTTTTGGTGCCTTTATTATCAAGAGTTTTTTTTTACAGTTTTCTTCCTTTATTTTCATTTCTTTACCTATTTTTTCCTCTAACACTCTTATTTGAGTTTGAAAATCAACTTTTAGCTCTTCCAGAAATGCTTAGTGGGCTTGTGTCCAATCCACATTTTTCTTTTAGACTTTGCTTGTAGCTGTTTTGACTTTATTGTCCTCTTTTGAAGTTTGTGTTTGTGTCTTGATCTTCCCTATCACCGTAGTAGTTTTTTATGGTCAGGTTCTTTCTTGTTGTTTGCTAATATGCATACTCTATTTCTTGATTTGGAACTTTATGTCTATGTTGAGCTCTGTTCCAAGTGTGGTGGGGGAGGCACTCAATCTTAAGCTTTAGGCTTTTTGCACTGTTATTTTCAGAGCTAGTTCTAGGAGTTTGGAAGTTTTTGATACCTCTATGGTGGTATGACCTGGTATGGTCATTGTTGTTTTCACCTGCACTCTGGTCCTTACCCAGGGAGAGCCTCTGATCCCTTGGGATTGCAATTGATAATAATCGTATTCCTGATAGAAATAAGGAAATTAGGAGGAATGGGTTTAGGAGGAAAGATAACGAGGGCCACTTTTGATGTTTTGAGTTTGAGATAGCAATGGAGACATCCAGGTGGAGGTATCCAACAGGTAGCTGCTGATGTAGAACTAGATCTAAGGAAAGAGATGAGGGGTGGATATATAGACTTGTGAGACATCTGCAAAAAGGTGATAAATGAACTCACAGAAAATGATGAGGTCACAAGAAAGCCTGGAGTGAGAAGATATGAAGACTTGGAACAGAGCCCTGGAAGATGCCTATATACAGTGAGTGGGATATAGATGATGGTGAGTTAGAATAAACCTTCATGGACATTTCTAGTTCAGCTCCTGTCTGAAAAAGAATCTTCATTACAATTTATTCAGCAAGCGATCATTCAGATTCTGCTTGAAGACTTCCAGTGAGGGAGAAGTCATTACTTCCAAGGCAGTTCATTATACCTTTAGTTAGTTCTAATTTACTGGGAAGTTTCCTCCTCTAAGTAGCCTAAATGAGCTTTTTTGCAACTTCCATCCATTCTAGTTCTGCCCAGTGGGGCTGAGCTGAACAGGCCTATTATCTCTTTCACATGATGGCCTTTTGGCCAGGGATGGGTAGGCGTGGGGAAGCGAGGCAATCAGGGTTAAGCAACTTGCCCAAAGCTGCACAGCTAGTAAGTGTCTGAGGTTGGATTTGAACTCAGGTCATCCTGTCTCCAGGGCTGGTGCTGTATCCATTGTACCAACCTAGCTGCCCCTACATGGTAGCCTTTTAAAAAATAAATTTTATTTTATTTTCAAATATTAGCCTTTTTACTGTGCCTCCCCATATTGAGAACACATGAAAAACAAAATCTGTTGCACACATATATAGTCAATCGTAACAAACTGCCATATTTAAAAAAAATTATCTTTCTGAATTCTGAGTTTTTCACCTCTCTATCAGGAAGAGGGTAGCATTTTTCATCATTAGACCTCTGGAATCCCAGTTAATCATTACTCTGATTAGAATTCAGCATAATAGCATTCCATCACATTTATATGTTATAACTTGTTCATCCATTCCCCAGTTGTTGAGCACCCCCTCTAATTCCTATTCATTGCCATCTCAAAAGGAGCTATAAATATTTTTATACATCCTTAGTGTTTGTTTTGCTCAGGACTAATCTCTCCCTTAATCTACTTTAGTTCTCCCTACCCCCTTCTCCCCTTTTCCTCTTATTTCATTACTGAGTTAAATATATTTTTGTACACACACAGTTGTATATAGTAGTCCTGCTTCTTTTGACCAGTTCATTTAAGTGTTAGCTGCTTCCCCCACCTCACCTCCTTGTTTGTATAGATGTCTACTTGTGTACCCCAATCATGCAAAATTATTTTCCCTAGCCTTCCTTTCCCTCCTTCCCCATACCACGTGTATTTCTCTTCTCTTTCCATTCTTTTCTTAAGATCATCAAGGCACAACAGAACTACTCTCAGGCCTTGTCTAGTTGGACTCCCTCTATGAAACCTTATGATGATAGGGTTCAGAGGGCACACATGTATCATCTCACATAGTTGAATGTAAGCAGTTTATTCTTGTTTAGGCCTTTATCTTTGCTCACTCACATCCACCTTTTTATGTCTCTCTTCACTTCTATGTTTGTATTTTAAAGTTTCTCTGCAGCTCTGGTCTTTTCATCAGGAATGCTTGGGATTCCTCTATTTCATTAAAGATCCATTTCCCCCTCTGACGTGTTATACTCAGTTTTGATGGGTAAGTTATTCTTGGCTGTAAGCCCATATCCTTTGCCTTCTGGAATATCATATTTCAAGTTCTCCACTTTTTTATAGTGGTGGCTGCTAAATTATGTGTGATCCTTACTGTGGCTTCTTGGTACTTGAATTCTTTCTTTCTGGTTGTTTCGCAGTATTTTTTCTTTGACCTGGACACTTTGGATTTTGGCTATGGAACTTCCTGAGAGTTTTCATTTGAAGCTGTCTTTCAGGAATTTACTGGTGAATTCTTTCTATTTCCACTTTGCCCTCTTGTTCTAAAAAATATAGACAGTTTTGTTTAACATTTCTTGAAATAGGATATCCACAACTCTAGTTATGGTGTTCAGCTAGTCTAATGGTTCTTAAACCCCCTCCCCCCACCCCACCCCCACCCCCGCCCCAGCCTACTTAATTTTGCTGAGATACTTTGTTTTCTTTTTTTTTTTTTTTTTCAACTTTTGGACTTTATTTTAATATTTCCTGGTGCCTCCTGGAGTCATTGGCTTCTATTTGGCCCGTCTTAATTTTTTGGGCATTTATCGCTTGAGCAAGGTTTTATTCCTCATGTGCCAAGCAAATAATCCTCTTTCCAATTCTTTCTTCCATTGCTCTCATTTCTTTTCCAATTTTTTCCTTGAGCATTTTCATTTCTTTTATAAAAATGTTTTTAAACTCTTTTAAAACACTTTTGCTTAATTTTTTCCAGGAATTCTAGTTGAATTTATGCTCAAGCTACGTTTTTCTCTGTGGCAACATCTCTAGTTGTTTTGGAGTTACTGTCTTCTGCATTTGTATCTTGAGCATCACTACCACCGTAATAGCTCATTGTGATGTTCCCATTCTTCCAGTCTGCGTCCTGATTTTGGACTGGATGTTGAGCTCCTGTAGAACTTCTAGAGGGAAAGTCTGGGCTGATCCTGTTGCTGTTTTCTTGGGGGAATTGAATGTTGTGTTACTCCAGGATATTGGGGACAGTCTGAGGACCTGTAAGCTTTCAGTGCTCCCAAAATGATCTACAGTTACACTTACTTATTGCTTTTTCTAATGTCTCACCCCCACCCTAGTCTGAGCTCTACAAGTTTCTAATCTGAGTTTGGGTCTGATCAAGAGTAGATTGCTGCTGGATTCTGCCCATCAGCCAGCTGGAAAGCTCTGTTGGCTCAGAGCAGCAGAATTGTAGATTCTCCTTTGGTCTGGGATTCCCACCCTGATTTTTCCTCTTCAGACTAAGCTAGACACTGGAAATGAGATCCTGCTTTCTGCCACATCTGAGTCATGTCATTACTGTTGATGCTGCTTTCTGAACTTCCTTCTAGAATCTCCACCTGGAACCACCTAGAACTTGCCTACGTAGGAAGCGGGTCCCCTTGTACAGGTCCCCTTTTCACTCCAGCCTGGATCTGTGATCCAGGACTGGGTAGTAAGTGACAAAGTTGCCAGTTGGCACCCATTTTCGTTTCTGTGTCCCAGTGTGGATCTGGGGGTGCCCTTTGTATGAGTCTGAGACCTACTCTTCCTCTGGTGCACATCCTCTCCCTGGACTCTTCTCCAGACTAAACATTCTCAGTTCCTTCAACCTCATAATGGCATAGACTCAAGGCCCTACACCATTCTAGTTGGCCTCCTTTGGACTTCTAGCTTATCAATGTCAAATGTCAGTGCCCAGAACTGAACAATTTACTCCAGATGTAGTTGGACAGAGGTAGGGTCCATTAAGATTATCATTAAAGTCTTGAAGAGAAGTCATTTGGGAAGAGGGATTAATAATAATAACTGACATTTTTTTTTATCACTTTGACATCTTCAAAGCAGATAATATACATTACTTTGATACAAGAGCTCTTTGTAGTATCACAGGATTTTAGGTATCTAAATTGGCTCATTGTTCATCTAGCCAATGCCATACCTGAAAAAGATTTCCCTCTATAACATACCTAACAAGTGATCATTAACTTTACTTGATATTAAATTAAAAGAAACCAGCTTCCTCCCAAATCATCCATTATACCTCCAGATAACTTTATTTTTTAGCACATGTTTCTTCATAGCACCATGACCTACCTGTGAGTCTCAACTTCTTACTCAATTTTAACAATCTGTGTGCAGGATCCAGAAGCTCCACCTAGAAGAGGAAAATGTTGATGATGCCAGGCCATTGGACAGCATTTGGTGAGAGGGATGGGGAGAGTATTCTGTGTGATGGAGTGCTAGAAATTGGCCAGCCATGATTGTTATCTTTAATAATGATGTCAAAAGTCAGGAGCCAAGCTTGGAATTGTTCTGGAGTAATTTTCCCTACTCTCACTCAAACTGTCAGGCTGGGTTCTCAGAAAAAGGCTGGGAAAGCCCTGAAGGATTATGGGGTTGCCTTTTCCTCATGTTATAACTCACAAGTTCCCAGCAATGTGCTTTTCCTCATGTTTGCTTGGGTTTTTTTGGTCTATCAATTAGTCAGTCAGACTTAATCTTTCAGAAATAAATATTACTGTATTTACTAATGTGGTATAGTTGTTACAAATCATTCCCTTCCCAAAGTCTCTAACACATTTACTTACCGGTATATACAGAATCTAGGATTGTTTACTCCAATGGGAGTACTCCAAAGGCAATACTGAGGCAGTGCTGTGGATACGATGTTGGACTTGACATCAGAAAGAATGAATTCAAAATTGACCTCAGACATTTTCTAGCTTTGTGACCCTGGACAATGTACCTGTTTTTTTTTTTTTTCACAGCTTCTACAATCTATCATTATCCTTTTTTTTGGTGGGGAGGTCAGCTTTGCCAATTTGTTGGGTTTTTTTTTTTTTGCTTCAGCTAAAGCATAATCGATTTTACTCCCACCTTTTATTTTAACTATGTGTGTAGCTTTCTGTTTCAAGGGTGTTTCTTGTATACAGAATATATTGTTGTATTCTGTGTTCTAATACATTTTTCTATACTCTTCTGTTTTATGGGTGAGTTAATGATACTCCCAGTCATAGTTATCATTGTTAATTGTATATTTCTCTCCATCCTGTCCTCTTATACTTTTCCTTCTCTTTGTTTCATACCCATTCTTCATAAAGAAAAAGAGGGCAATGAGAGACAAGGAGTAAGCTCAGCACTAATGCCGTAGATTTGGTATAATGTTTCTGTTCCCCTGCCCCTCTTCTGTTTCCCTTACTCAGAGCCCAATAACAGATTCTTATAATTTCTTTCAAGTCTTTCTTTCAGTTCCACTCTCCTTACTTAGTTTTGCTTGTCTAATTACTCTCTTAATCCACTTTCCCTCTAATTCTCCTTTTTTCCTCCTCCCCTTACCTTCTGTTTCCCTGTGTGAAATGTATTTCTATACTCCACTCTGTATGTATATTCTTCCCTCTTTTGACCAGCTCAGATAAAAATGAGGTTCAGCGGTTGCTCATTCTACATCTTCCTCCTTATATAGACTTTTATTTGTGTATCCCAATAACGTGACATAATTTCTATCATCCTTCCTATCCCTTCTCCCTTTACCCTCAGTGTATGCCTCTTTCCCTTCCTTTCCATCCTTCTTTTAAGTGTAACAGAACCACTCCCAGGCCCTCTGTCTAATTAGACACTCTCTATGACCCCTAATGATGATAGACATCTTAAGGGATACATGTATCATCTTCCTACATCAGAATGTGAACAGTTTATCCTTATCCAGTCCCTCATGATTGCTGGCTCATGTCTACCTTTGTGTTTCTCTTGACTCCTATGTTTATATTTCAAAGTTTCTACTCAGCTCTGGTCTTTTCATCAGGAATACTTGGAAGTCCTCTATTTTATTAAGAGTTCATTTTCCCCGCTCTGTTTCTGCTGGGTAAGTTAGTACTGGCTGTAAGCCTGACTAGGAATATCATATTCCCAGGTCTCTGCTTCTTTATAGTGGCAGTTGCTGAACTGAGTAAGATCCCAACATGTGACCCCTTTGTACTTAAATTCTCTTTCTGGCTCCTTGTGGTGTTTTTTTCTTTGACCTTGAGGCTCTGGATTTTGGTTCTTATATTCCTGGAAGTTTTCATTTTGGGTTTTTCTTCAGGAGATGGCTAATGGATTCTTTCTATTTCTACTTTGCTCTCTCGTTCTAAGAGATCTGGGTAGTTCTATGATTTCTTGAAATAGGATGTCTAGGCTCTTCTTTGGTCATTTCTTTTAGGTTGTCTAATGCTTCTCAAATGATCTTTCTTCAATATGTTTTCTAGGAAACCTATTTTTGCTCTGAGATACCTTATATTTTTTTCTATTTTTTCCAGCCTTTTAGCTTTGTTTTAATATTTCTTCTTGTCTCATGTAATTAGCTTCTATTTGGTCTATTCTAATTTTCAAGGAATTATTTTTTAAATAAAATTTTATGCCTCTTGTTCTAAATTGTTAATTCTCTTCATGAATCTTTCTCCCAGAACACTTTTGTTTGGTTTTTGAAATAATTTTTAATTCTTAAAAAACAGAAACAAATGAAAATCTTTTGCTTCATTTCTTCTAGAAATTCTAGTTGAACTTGTGTATAAGCTGTTTTTTTCTTTGAGGTTTTACTTATGGATGTTTTGGAGTCTTTGCCTTCTTTTGGAATTATGTTTTCAGTGTTGCTGTCACCTCTTTCTTTTCTTTCTCTCTTGCTTCATCCCTCCCTCCTATCCCTCCCTTCCTCCTTTCTTTCTTTTCTTTCTTTTTCTTTCTTTCTTTTTCTTTCTTTCTTTCTTTCTTTCTTTCTTTCTTTCTTTCTTTCTTTCCTTTCTTTCTTTCTTTCTTTCTTTCTTTCTCTCTTTCTTTCTTCCTTCCTTCCTCTTTCTTTCTTTTCTTCTTCTTCTTCCTTCCTTCCTTCCTTCCTTCCTTCCTTCCTTCCTTCCTTCCTTCCTTCCTTCCTTCCTTCCTTCCATCCTTTCTTTCTTTCTTTCTTTCTTTCTTTCTTTCTTTCTTTCTTTCTTTCTCTCCTTCTCTCTTTCTTTTTTTCTTCTCTCTTCACACCACTACCTGTAGGTGCTCTTCCTAAAGGGAATTTAAATTTTATTCTCTGCAACTTTTTTTTCTTGTTCTCATTTTTTTTTCTCTTAAAAACCAGCTTTAACCCCAAATTGCTCTGATTCCACACTAAGCCCTACTTGGTCACTGTTTGGGCCCTGATTGGCTCAGAATGAATGTAAATAACAATTGTTTCTGTTTTTGCCAGAAACCCTGAGGATCTTCCCCTCCTATATCTATTTTTTTTTTAAGAAGAGTTTCTTTGCCTCATTTTTATTAAGCACTAATCACTGAATGGGCATTGCCTCAGTCAAACTGAGACCTGTTAAAGACCTTAGCTTGAAAAAGCTAAGGTCCTCCACTGCATCCTGGGACATCTCCAGTTGTCCTGATCCATATATGGCCACTGGAACCAGATGGCTCCGGAGGGGAAAGTAAGGCTGGTAACTTTGCACAGCCCTCTCTCACTTAGATCCAATTTACTTGTAAGTCATGGTATCACCTCTCTGATGTCATGGTCCTCTTCAAGAATGAAGAACAAACAGCAGCAGCAGCAGCAGCAACAATTCTGTCACCTGGTCACCTTTTATGATGAGATTCTTTTGTTTGTTTGCTGGCTCATTTTTTGAGCCTACTTCATGACACATTAGGGCCAGGCTCTGCACACTTCAGGGGAGAATTCTGAGCTGAAGTTTTGTCCTCTTGGGTCCTTCTGCTGCTTTCTTGAAGGTATTCAGTTTTGTGTTATTCCAGGATCTCAGAAACAGCTTAGTCTGGGGACCTCCAAATTTTTAGCACTCCCAAAGTGCTATAATCCAGAGAAAAGTCTGATCACTGCTCTCGTGATCTGAGCTCTGCAAGTTCCTGACCTGGATTTGGATCTGTGCAACACTTCTGTTGGCTTGCCCGTAGGTGGAAGTTTCAGTAGACTAATGCTGGACTCAGCTACTACCAGCCAGCCATATAATTCTATAGATTCAGAATGATAGAACTGCAGGTTCCCATTTGATCTGGGATTCCTGTCCTTATTATTCTACTATAGGCTTGCTGGATGATGGAAGCGAGATCCTTCATAGCTCCTGGGGTCAGAACAAAACTACCTGTAAATTCTAAACTTGTTCCTCACTCAGTACATAGTCTACCCCTCCTTCCCCCTCATTGCTTCTGACTCTGGAACACCACATCAAAATTCACATTTTCTCCTCAGTCTTCCCTGGATCCATACCATGGACCTAGGTGGTGAACGAACACCTGTGGTGTCTTTTTACTTTGGTTCACAGCCTCAGTCCTCTTCCAGTTCTTATGTGCCGCAATGTTCTGTGAGTTAGCCCTTGGCCAGATCTCATACCCAGTGTCCACAGATCTTCTTTCTGTCTCACTGCTTTGACCAGGGCTGGAGAAATGATTCACTGTGATTGTTTTTCTCTCAGATTTCCTGATTAAGATTGTCTGTGTATTTCCTAGATCATTGTAGAGGAATTATGTTGGAAGAGCGCTATATTTCCTGCTAGTCTACCATCTTGGCTCCACAAGGGATCATCTTTGCAATAGCTGTCTACTTGTCTCCCTGCCTTAAGTCTCTCCCCACTTTAATTCATCCTCTACTCAGATGATAAAGTGATTTTTCTGAAGCATCATTTTGACTGCATCGCCCCCATGTTTGGTGCTCCTGAGTGGCTACGTATTATCTCCAGGATCAGGGATGAAGTCCTCTGTTTACCATAAAACTTTTCAAAACCTGGGCCTTTCCTACTTTTCCAGTTTTCTTATACTTTACTCCCATCTACACACTCTTTGATCCAGCTACACAGATCTACTTGCTGTTCCTTACACTGCATTCTCCATCTCCTACTTCCATGACTTGGTCTCTGTGCCTGGAATGTTCTCCCTCTTCATGTCATCTTAGAATCACTGCCTTCCTTGAAGCTTCAACACAAACCCTACCTTCTGCCGGAGGCCTTCCCTATTCCGCCAGATGCTAAAGCCTTTCCCCTTCAGATTACCTCCCATCAACTGTGTATATATCTTGTATATACCTAGTTATTTACATGTTGTCCTCCCATTAGAATGGGAGCTCCTTGAGTACAGGCATCGTTTTCTCCTTTATTTGTATCCCCAGCTCTTAGCAGGGTACATGGCACAGAGTAAGTGATT